TTTTTTTACAGACTCAAAAACAGATTAATGCCAAGATCTGATTAGGTTTTGGGCATGCTGTGTAAATTACATGGTGGCCATTTTGTTCTTCAACGTGTGATATTTATCACTGTGTGTCTACTTTTAATATAGTGTTCAGTCATCGCCATGGCATCCTCCTAAGCAGGTATCCAGAATCCGTACCTCCTTCTTCCCCCTGCTATAACCAATTTGGAAGCGCCCGATTAAACTGAATCACGTGATCTAATTATGCGCAATGACTTATACATGATTTCTGTCGCAGCGTTGCGACAGCCAATCAGATTGCGAGTTCTTAATCGGGGAAATGCTAACTGCTAATAGCAGGGTGTAAAAAGAAAGAAGATATTATGGATTTTGAAGCCCTGTGATTGGAGGATGTCGCCATGGGTGTTTCTGTATTTCTGTCATGTATAATGATAAAAATGAGAAGTAATTTGATAAAATATGCTTTGTTCAAAGGAATGCTACTCCGGGGAGTTGCTGTTTAACAAGCTTCTTTTCTATTTTTTTTAATATGAGGGCCTTATTGGCTCGTGCTGAGGCAAGAGCCATATCTCACTTGGATATAGTAGTAAGTGATAACGACAATGGACTGTGGTTTAAAAGTTAGTTTACTAGTAGAAAACCTGATGGGTTAATATTTGTTGATGCAAATGAGTTAATACCTCGAGCAAAAGTTTAACCCTAAGGTGTTAGTTTATAATAAAATTGCGTTAGAGAGGGTTTCAAACGGCAATATGCCCATTTTACAACAACACCATGAATTCTGCGCACTGATTTTCGGCAACATGATACAACAGAAATACGAGCGACTTTCTGATTTAGAATTGTGAACAATTTACAGCATTAAAAAAACTCCGAACATTTAACTATTTTATTAATATCTTCGGAGAACGAGAATCAAATTGACCCATCTTCACTTTTAGATATGTTCGGATGTTTTCTAAGAGGTCCAGGTACTCAGACCTTCACAATTTAAAGATCTAAATCAGTTCAAAATGTTCGGATTTTTTCTACTTTTGCCGTTCGGTAAATTACAACCGCGTTAAAAGTAAGCATCCCTATTTATCAATACAATTCATTACAACACTGCAAACATCTCCTTCACACGAGCCTTCATTTTTTAAAAATGATCTCTTGTTTGACAATTTTTGAAATTTAATGCAAGGCCAGATAAATAAACCCAAGTGACAATTTATCTTACCATAAATAGAAGGTTAAATGATTACTATGGGGAATTAATTTTATTTAACAGAACACCTTTATGCTTTTTATCAAAATAATAAAATATTGTGCATGGTTGAGGAAGGGTCAGATCTGAAATTGGATTGCAGAAATAGGACCATTAGCATCTATATTAGAAAAAGGTGTATTTGAACCAATATGAGATTCAAATAAATCTTGCCGATTAATAGGATCTTTTCCATATGCTAGCATCTTAAGACTTGTCCTTTTGGATTATCATTACAGTATCCTGTTCAGGTCAATTTCATCAATTATTACTTCTTGCGCTAAAAATGTCAACTGTTGATGTTCATTTTACTCAGATTCTCTTTAAAATTTGATTGAAATCCCGATTTCTGGAATTTTTATACAGTGTGGGGTATTATATACTTGTTTGTATATTTTGATCATTGCTGTTTGCATTCCTTTTCACTCCATATTGCATTTGAATCAAAACTGTCGTTGTATTCTATTTGCAGGTTTTGTTATTGTCGTGAAAGCATTTGACAATAAAGGGCCTATTAAGCATACAATTAGATCTTTCAGTCATCATAAAGCACATTAAAAGTCTGAAAGAAATTGTCTCAAGTTGGAATAATTATAATGTCATTGTCAACAAATTGGTTATTTCTCAAGATTGTTAGTCCTTGATTTCATGATCAAGATCACATTTAATGCTTCCATGGAAGTACATCATCATTAATATGTCAATATAAGATTTTCTCGCTTTTCATACGCTTACTTTCTTAAATGGTTAGATATCTTATATCAAGGTGAAAGGAAGTTTCAAAGATTGCATATGAGATTTCTTTATTAATGGCCACTGAATAAGTCACCCATGAGCTAGAAGGTCTATGTTAAAAGGTACCCTGCGCGCAGAGTCTAGTTGAACTACACTCTGCCTAGTATAGACTATATTTCAGTTTAGCAGCCACACCCCGAAGATTGGTGCCTGTGATAGACCGAGTAATAAATAATTTCGAATCTACCACGTTGATCCTTTTTCAACCAATCAGCAAAGTGGAAGGAACATGCGCAAAATACGTGCTCATTAACTATGCGGGGATGTCAGAGGAAATGACCATATAGAAACTCATCCATATTTCGACGACGAACTCTGATTGGCTCGATGAGATCAGAGATTTATTGTAAAATGAAAGAGTGAAGACGAAGATCTCTTTTAAGAAGTGAAGTCAAACGAATGCAAAGGGTAGTTAAAAGGTAGAGGTCTGCTGAAATGCCAAAAAAATCCATGCTATTTTAATACTGTACAAGGGGAATTTAATGAGTGAACTGAACTAAATTTTAGCCTAAATCAATTAATTACAAAATAACTTAAAAATGTAGATTGAGTAATATCTTTATATTTGATACCTAATTCTATGCTTATCATTAATATCATTAATATTCAAGGCTGTCTACATGATCTATTACTTTTGGACTCTGATGTCTGGGTAATGTGTATATTAGATAAATCTAAGAATTGGAAAAATCGTTGTAGTCTTAGTAGCTTTTGATTAAGAGACTATAACAATGCAATTACATGTTAATTTACATCTTATGTGTTTGTCTTTTGTCTCCTGAATCCTAATGAACAACGAGGGATTCAGATTGTTTTTGTTTGATTTGCAGTGTTCCTACAGATCTGGAAATGTCAATGAAATCTGTTTATTTTCCCAGCACCCTGGAATGTCAGGGAATTATGTAATAAAGAAGGTCCTATATATCTTTGAAATCTTGCCAAAAACCCAGATGCGAGGAGGTAGTTACCAGTTTCACCACCAGGTGGCTAACACGGGGCAGATAACATGGCACTGGGTATTAGAAAGTTCCCTTGAATATGCATCAGATTTAGTGGTTCAATTTTCAAATAACTTTTATGTATCTGATGGTTACAAATTAAAATACTGTATGTCCACTTGAAGAAAACATTATCTGCTCAATATAACAAAAGATATTTCACTTTTTGTGATTTTACAACATGGGATCTATGGGGAATCTCCCCGACCTAGAAGTCTGGTACGTATTAAGTGTCGATTACTAAATCAAAAATTTAAACTTTAGGGATATGTCAATGTTTTTTGGTTTTGTTCTAAAAACTACTGCAATATTTAGTCATAAACTATGTTCAGAGTTGCTTTAATGAATCAAAGATTCAAAGTGTATTGCACTATACATTTCCAAAAACAAGTCATTGAAAACACGGATGCTCAAATTTGTATTAAACCAATTCAATCTATTATTAGCAAAGGAAATAATAGTATTTCAAAGCAAAGCAGTTAACCATTGTTTTATTGTGATTAAAGAAATAAATAAAGTATGTATTACACCTTGATATTGCTTTAAAACAAGTCATTAAAAATACTGTTACAGTTAAATAATGGATTCAAAATAAGTAACAAATCTGACAAAAGGTCTATTATTATACATATACAGGGCAACTGTATTTGTAAGCATGGGGTGATTAGTAGAAATTAATGGTGAATGTATAGTGTTGCAAAACATGTCAATAAAATAACAAAAATAGACATGAGAAAACATCCATGTAGTATATGAAGAGGAGTAAGGGTAACAAAGGATTGTAATGATGTTGTCTTTATTTTATTTTATTACCCCCTTAAAAGTAACTATTTGTGTATTGAAATCTTGCGGTTGAAAATAAGCTTGATTAATGGTTATTTACACAAAATTCAGCTTTTTGTCAACTACTGACATTTTTCAAATGCAAGATTTCAATACACAAGTAATTGTGTGGGATCAACCCACATCTATGGCGGTATATTTAATATACCATCCAAAATATGGAAAATACAAATTCAATTTTCTAAAGTAAATAATGATCGGGCTATGGATGAAGGAGGGGATTGTCATATATTTCAGGTAGATGGCATAAAACTCTTTATACTTTATAATAATTGTGTGTGATTATAGAGGGAATGACTTAATTACCTAATATTGACTCATGCCATAAAGCACTGATATTTTCTATTTTTCAATCTATTATATTCTACATACTATATTTTGATGAATTTTTTGCTAGCATTATTAGATATATTTCAAGAATGCATATTGGATATTCGTAAAGTACAATTAATGAGCAACATATGATAGCCCAAAACATCGTAAGCTCAAATTAAATAGTAGTTAACCATACAGTGTTACACGTAATTACAATATTTTCTGTATGATGTAAATGGCCATCTTGACTTCTATGAGGTAATTCACCTTGGATACACATGCTTATTTTTCTGCCCTGTTTCTGTGTGATTTGTCATCTGCCAAGATCTTCCCAGAAACAATCTTTAAGTCATAATTCTGTGATTTTTGTTTGTGTCTTCGAAGCAGGTAGTTAATTGGTAAATTATATTAATAGATGAATAAATAAATAAACAGAACAATAAATAAATAAATATATAAACAAATAAATAAATAAATGAATGAACAAATAAATAAATTAATTAATAATTGAATAAAGAAATAAATACATGAATAAATGAATAAACAAAATAAATAAGAAACAAAAAATATATATATATAAACTAATAGTTAACATAGATAAATACTCGTACATGAGTAACTTTGGAGGGGGAATTAAACACTGTTTCTTATCACGTTGGATTGTGATTAAGGTTAATCGGGGTTTAATAACCTTATGGCTGGTGTACTACCAGATATTTTCTTTTTCTTCTGTAATGTAACCAATTTTAGTGTTTTCTCTTTGGCACTTGCGCTTACATATTTTGTATGTTTGATAGGAACCCTGATGAGAAGAATGACGGCCCCTGGTGTTACACCACAAGTTCTTCTGTGCGCTGGCAATATTGTGACATCAATTATTGTGGTAAGTTATTATTACATCACTTAATGTGACATCAATTATTGTGGTAAGTAATTGTGACATCACTTAATGTGACATCAATTATTGTGACAAGTTATTATGACATCACTTAATGTGACGGTAAGTTATTGTGATAACACTTAATGTGACATCAATTATTGTGACAAGTTATTATGACATCACTTATGTGACATCACTGTTGTGGTATATTATTATAGTATGATGCATTGTGCTGAATTAATGTGATATCAATTATTTAAAAGGAAAACCTGTATAACTGTACACCTCTCAATGTGAACACTTTTCTTGGTCCTGATTTTATCTCCCATATATTGACCCACATATTCAGAAACACATTTGCCCAATCCCAGAGGTGTTCAGATTAGGCAGGTTTTACTGTATTAAATGTAAGTTATTCAACAATCTCTCTCAGAAATTTTTTTATATTCACTGATATACCATCTATTGTATTGTAGACTGCAAGCGTACACAGCTTGGCAAGGGCTATCAAGGCACTATTTGGAAGACTATTTCGGGTAGGACCTGTCAGAGATGGGCATCTCAGGTTCCCCATTCTCATGGAAACACTGACCCAAATAAATTCCCAGATTGGTAAGGCCAACTTAGATATTTAGTTGTTTTTTATTTAGTTAATAATGTCTTTATTTGAAGTAAGCTCTATCTACCTTTTAACTGAAAAATTTAGCCTTGTTCAGACGATATGGTATCATTAGTATCAATAAGTTGTTTATTGTATGTTTTGATTTTTATCGGGGGTGTAGCTAGCTTCCAGTCAGGGGGGGTGCGACTGCCAAATATTTTTTGGGTTTTCAGTCAGGGGGTTGTGCGATCGCACCCTTGGAACTCCCCCTGGCTACACCTATGTTTATTATCCCATCGGACGAAGTTCGGAGGGATATAGGGAACGCCTCCGTCCGTCCGTCCGTCCGTCCGGGCAATAACTCAAATACCGTTGGCCCGATTTTATTCATATTTTGTACACATATACCCTATGGGGGTAGAAGTTCTGCTCAAAAGCCGATTTTCAAAATGGCCGCTCATTTAAAAATGGTGGCCATTTTAGTGCCGATTTTACAGTAATTTAGGTGCAATATGTAAAACTGTAATAGCAATATTTTTTAAATGTAAAAAAATTATATAGGACATTAATAAAGCTAGAAATGTAGATATTAAAAAAGCACATGCAGCCATCTTGAAAAATGGCGGCCTTTACTCGTTATTTTACGATTTTTGTTGTAACTCGAAAAGTAGTGGAGCGATTTTGTTCATATTTGGTATGTGAATACTATAAGCATGGCACACTGTCTAATGAAACTTTTGGTAGAAGGCGGCCATTTTGAAAAATGGCGGACATTTTGAAAAATGGCGGACATTTTGAAAAATGGCCGCCATTTTAACTTGTTTTACTAAAACTTGAAAGTAGTGGAGCGATTTTGTTCATATTTGGTATGTGAATACGTATAAGCATGGCACACTGTCTAATGACACTTTTGGTAGAGGGCGGTCATTTTTCAAAATGGCCGCCATTTTAACGTATTTTACTATAACTCAAAAAGTAGTGGAGCGATTTTGTTCATATTCGGTATGTGAATACTGTAAGCAAATTGGCACACTGTCTAATGACACTTTTGGTAGAAGGCAGCCATTTTGAAAAATGGCGTACATTTTAACTTATTTTACTATAACTGGAAAAGAAGTGGAGCGATGTTGTTCATATTTGGTATGTGAATACGTATAAGCATGGCACACTGTCTAATGACACTTTTGGTAGAAGGCGGCCATTTTTCAAAATGGCCGCCATTTTAACGTATTTTACTATAACTCGAAAAGTAGTGGAGCGATTTTGTTCATATTTGGTAAATGAATACTATAAGCATGGCACACTGTCTAATGAGACTTTTGGTAGAAGGCGGCCATTTTTCAAAATGGCCACCATTTTAACGTATTTTACTATAACTCGAAAAGTAGTAGAGCGATTTTGTTCATATTTGGTATGTGAATATTATAAGCATGGCACACTGTCTAATGACACTTTTGGTAGAAGGTGCCCCTTTTGAAAAATGTTCGATGGGATTCGCTACGCTTTGGCGTTGCCGTTGTTCTGGTTGTACATGCATATTGGGTATATTCCTAAAAACATATTTCTTCTGTTCACTTGTAAGGACACTATACGACGCTTCAAACTATTGCCGTAACCCAGACAACGAAGAGGGAGGTCCATGGTGTTATACAACAGATAAGGACCAGAGATGGGAGTATTGCGCTGTACCTTTCTGTGGTAATTAGGGTTAACATTGTAAAACAAATTCATTGTATTTTAAGTCAATAGTATTGTAAGAATTATTAATACCCACTGTACTGCATGATGTTCTGGTGAGACCAACATAACATTTAATGATGTTGTTATTTGGGCCTACTGTGTAGAACCAGAGTTTCTACCCATGTAAAGTGTCGTTTTCAAGACATGGGTCAAAAGTAAATGTGCTTGTTTATTGTATATTATTGAGGTTATGGTACATGTTTAGTGGTTATTATAGTTTATATTGTGCATGGTTATTGCACTCATTAAATGGTTCAGCCATTTTTAGTGTTAGAAATATCCATTATACATGTTTATTGTATATGTTTATTATTAATCATCCATATTGTAAATGTTTCTGGTGTATGTTTATTTTAGACCTCTACCCCACATTACAACCTCCACCACAGACCACTCCAGTAACTGGTAAGTTAGATTTTTATGTCACAACCAACTTTTTTGCATAATGTTCGGCGGTTGGTGTTTGGCAGGCAAGTGGTGACATTTTGCATGTTAAACCTGCACATCGCTCCAAAACGCAATATGTTGACATATATTGTTTTTACATTTTCAAGCTCTAATATAAAGTTTCCGAAATAAAAATTGTTTTTTTCTGCGTAATATCAAAGAACAATCATTTAGTTAAAAAAATAAAAAGGCAAGTGCGGGATTCGAACCCGGGCCTCCCGCGTGCTAAGCGAGAAATCCACCCCTACACCACCGAGTTCTTGTGAAGAGTGGAAGTAATTGAACGCTACTTATTTTGAATGCTATGATTCGGAAGTGACGTCACGTTCTTCATTTAGAAACCTTTCCAAAATCATATCGCCGGCACCGATCTAAGCAAATTCAATGAAAAATCTTTGAAATGACACATTTATCGTAAGTATTTCTACACAAGATTTTCCCCATTTGTTCATCATTCTATAATCTTTCATTAGCTCAAAATGATAAAGTTCACCCCCGAAACAACCCAAGATTGCGTTTCGGAGGGAAGTCCAGCTTTAACCTTGTTTACATGTAAATTGTTATTGATTTTTATTTAGTATTCTTGAAATCTTAAAAGAATAAAAAACAATTTCAGTCAATTGATTTCACTCATTATCCAATCCTGATTTCAGTGTCTTTTTAACTCATTCAGCAGCCTATTAGTAAGTCAGAAAAAAACAGATTGCTATGGAGAAATGTTTTTTGTAGATATTGATGAGTTTACACAGACATCCTCAGGTTGTACATGTTACTGGGACAAGACACGTAAAGACTGCGCCTGCTGTAAGCCAACAGGATGCCAGTGCCACCATGAGTACAGACACAGGTGTGTCGCATGTGGCAAAGCACAAGACTGCCTCAGTAAGTGAATGATATACAAGGGGTGATCAATAGGTAATGGATGCTTTTTTACACAGATACTTTTTATGGACCAATCCCTTTGATTTTCCTACCAGTGATACACCATTCAATTAAGGAATTGGTCTATAAAAAGCATCCGTGTAAAAATACCGTCCATTACTTATTGATCACCCCTCGTATGTACACCAGTCACTCTGTTCAAAGAGTTAATGAAAAAGATGAGTAACTAAACATGAACAGGATTTGACACATGTTCCAATGGGTGAGTTGTGGTTACCAAACTTTTTGAGGACAGTGTATTGTTGGCATTGTTCTGAGTATCCATAGTTATTCGATTTATGTTCAACTCCAGAGAACTGCCCCAAGGTGATTGGTAGGAATCCCACAGATCTTCCACGTAGAGGGGGCAACTGGGCCCATTTGATGACAGACAACAGATTTGTATGTGATGGTTACCTAGTGGCCTGGGAATACTACAGGTATGGTTATTTTGAAAAAGTGAACCCACCTTGGCAAAAGCTGGCTATGGGGGGGCTATCCTTCTATTATCTTTACGCATTTCTTGTAAAAAGAATGGCTTCATCAAATAATCAAACACATAAATATTACTAACAGAAACTATTACATATTTCAGATCTAACCCCATTGCCACAGTCTACCTAGGAATATGGCGTGCAGTGGGCAGCACACCAGGCAACTATACACTGCAGGCCAAAACGGCACTACCACCAGCTGCTGCAGGTAAATGTGATTTTACTTTTCAGACTCCATGGTAAATTTTTCAGGAAGAAGAATTCACATGTTTGCTGTATTACTGCCCAAATCAATGATTTTGTTTTTTAAAATGTTCTGTTTTCAATAAATTTTTTCACATTTTATTTGGAGAGTGTAGGTTAAAGCAAAAACAAAATTCAACTTGCCTTTCCACAACTGTTCATATTTGGACAACATCCAATATACATCAGGCCCATAGCCAGAGGGGGGTCGCAGGGTTCAGGCGAACCCCCCCCCCCTGGCCAAAAATTCTTTCAAAATCATGCAGTTTTTCACCATTTTGAGCACTTCTCAAGTGATTTGGGCCAAAATTGTCAAATGTGAACCCCCCCTAGAAATTTTTGAAAACTGAACCCCCCTTGGCAAATCCTGGCTACGGGCCTGTACATTTACCTACATAATATAGAAAATGTATTCTGTTTGCCTCCAGGTAAGATCTGGTATGATGTCAACCCACCTATCCCTGTATCTGAGGGTGATTTCATAGGGATCCATTACAGCAAGTACAACCCTAACCCTGCCATATCCAACTCTAGGGGCAAAGATGGCGTAGTTTCCGACACAGAGCTGTTTAATACAATCAACATGCCACTGTATGATGAGGACTTTAAGACTGGAGACTCTGTTGATTTTTCCAAGTGGTCAAGCGTAAAGAGCACACATGCTTTACAGGCACATCTATCTGGTAAGTCATTTCATAGCCTGGAGCTATAATTTTTTTTTGCTTTTATTCTCTTATGTCACCACCAGAAGTGGTGAATATTGTTAGCCTCCAACCTTTTTGTGGCTGGTGTTCTGCATTCGGCATCTGTAACAGCATTCACCGTCTGTAACAAATGGCAGGTGGTGACTTTTTGTTAATACCTTGTGTCAGGATAATTGTCCCCAAAGTGAATATTTGTTTCTCAGCAGTATAAAAATCTTCCAATGTAAGATGGTAGTGTAGCATAAACAACTCCAAGAAATGCTTTGTAGTACGGGTTTCTCACATTCAAAGTCAACTCAATTTGCAAAAATACATTTCTATTTCTATGTATTTGAACACAGTTTAAGGTGGATATTAGCATTTTCTTATAATATAGGAAACATGGACAGTCTGCATGACCTCACATGATCATTTAAGCATGTATAGTATCACAAGGATAGGAAAATTATCTCAATTTGGAATATGTGATTAAAATTCTGTTTCAACCTTTTACTGACCTTTTGAAGGATTCGTTGTCTAAGTGTATCAATTTTCCAGCTATGTGTCCCCGTGGATGGGAGATCCACTACAACCGCAGCTGCTATAAAGTATTCTCAGCATGGGGAGACCGTCTCTCACATCCTGACGCGGTTGCTAAGTGCCAGAGCCTGGCCCCTGACTCCAGACTCATCAGTATAGACACGCAAGATGAAGTGGACTACATTGGTGCGGAGCTGAAGCTACGTGGGCATAATAGCTTCTTTGAGTTCTGGATCACAAAGTGGTTGAACTGTAAGTCAAAGCTCTTGATGTGTTGAAGAATTTTTATGAAACATAATTTCTATCTTCCAATTACAAGGTTTAGTTGTTCTAATTTTTCTGTTTGGCGCTTCCTAATTTTGAATTGATTATGCTTTATTATGCCATAAGCAAAGCATATTATTTTGTTTCAAAACTTATGATTTCTAGTTTGTGTTCACTGTAACTAATGATTTGTCTATGGAATTTTAACATCTTCAATATTGTCAGTCTGACACACAATTTCAACATTGAGGGGACCTACATAATGCTTTTATTAGTCTATAGAGGGTCTAAGGCTACAAGTGCTCAAATTAACACTAAGGGATTTAGTTTATTGCATATCAGGTCTAATGTTACTTATACATGTATCACTTCCATGTGCTAAGAATACAATATGATCTTTTCCTTCAAAATTAGCCAATTGGTAGTTTTCTTGAGGTTGTGTGCTAGTTGTACATTGTGTGTAATCTTTTGCATGTTTTTGATGCACTACTTCATGTTTATCTGTGCTTATGTCAAAAACTTTTTAGATTGCCTCTGCTTTGCATGATTTTCTATATAAGCTTCATTTGATTTGCTTCAAAGTGGCTGATCTTGGTCCTGGAAAATGTTACATCATGACAAACTGGCGAAGATCTGGGAATGACAATAGAGAGCGCTACCACCACTATATAAAGCCGTGTAAAGAGTTACGTCGATTCATTTGTGAAAGAACTATGGGTATGATTTAATCTTGAGTTCTACTAATCATTCTATTTCACGCAGCACCAGTATATATTTCTGTTTCTGTCTTTTGCTCAGCATCTTAGTTTTTATTTCCTTTTAGTTAATTTTCCACTCCACGCTGTTTAGTATTATACTTGGTCTCTGTGGGCACACAACCCTACCTTAATATGCTATGGACATGAAGATATTACCCCACTTTGCAGTGGAGCACCTCTGTAGGTGGAACATATCCAGAAGTGGAACAGTTAACAGTGATCTCCCCAGCAGTAAAGCAAGTGGGCGCAGCACCCACCTGAAATTTTGAAAAAGGCTTGCAGCCACCTGAAAATTCATTTGCACTCACTTGAAAATGAGAAAAATCATGAAAAATTGACATATTTTCACCAATTTTGGTCTGAATTGTGAAAATGAGAATTTTGCACCCACTTGAGAAAAAATCCTGTGGAGATCACTGAGTTACTTAAAATCCACTTACTAATGTAAAATGAACCTCTGTGAGTGGAACATCTCTCAAGTAGAACACTATTTTGAGGTACCAAAGGCATTCCACTTCAAAGGTGTTACTGTGTAATGCTGATTATGGCCATTCCTGCCATACCCCTTCCCCTACTTCTCATGACCCCTTTGAAGCACTGTACTTGTACTTATTTGCTTCTGCACCAAAACAGACTTACTTAAATGTATGTCACGTATGCTTGGCAGTAGGAATATGTAATATCACTGATACCAGCCCCCCCCCCTTCCCCGCCCCCCATCTCTCCACACCCATCTATTACTCACTTGCATTTAGATTGGAACTTATACACATTTTTTGGATGATCTATAAAGTGGCGGACCCAAGTCCAGGGAAGTGTTACATCATGTCCAATTGGCAAAAGTCTGGAAATGCCGACAGAGAGAGCTACAAGAATTACGTTAAGTCTTGTAATGAAAAGCGTCGTTATATTTGTGAACGCTCTATGGGTATGATTTATTTCAATACACACTTACTTTTTTGCTTAGATTTAATATAATCAAAAGCTTGTACTGTACATTTAAAGCACTCAAGCAAATACATGTATCAAAAATTGCACTATCGTAATTATTTGCAACTTCTTTTATTTTGCCTTCTTTATGGTCGATTTTCATAATTCTTGATGACCAACATACATACAAATAATCCACCTTCTAATTTAAGGTTCACTTTTAACTTATAAATATCAATGAATTGACATTCAGATTTATCTTGTGTACACAAGAAAATTCGAGATTCTATCATAATTGATAAAGTAAAAGTTGAGAGTTTTGGTCACTCTGTAAAATGAAAGAACTCACATTTTCGGTGAGGTCGTGAAATTTTAAAATGATGAGGGCTAGCATGTCTGAATTGGCACCCCATTTTCCAAAGCTTATGTACTATTAGGTGATTCCGTCAATAATATCCACTCCTCATAAAAGCAAACCCCAAAGAAATGTTATTTTTGGTTGGGTGAAATAGATTAAAAGCACGTCCCATTTTATAATACACACTTCAGAGTAAAAGAACAAACTCACTTTATTAGATGAAATATGGAAGGGGACAGCTTTTTAATAAATGATGTATCTCAAAAAGGCACAATGTATGTTTTGACAGTGCCATATTAAAATGTGACGTATAACATTTATTTGAAATAACATCTAAGCAGTATAAATCAGCAAAAAACATTTTTTCATGTAAAGTAGCACCATTCATGTATAATGTAATTCAGCTTTTCAAATTCAATGTGTTTTAAAGTAGAAGTTAAAAGTAGAAGTTGATTAATACTACAAGTAGTTGCCAAAATTGACATATTTCAATTTATATTATCTGTACATATATTTATTGTGATGTCATATGTAAATAGTCATAGTCGTATATGTATTATGTCATGTGTAAATGTATATATTATGATTTGTAGGATCTCCTGTGAGTCCCACACCAACCCCTCATCCACTTGTTAAAAGTAAGAATTTTTTAATTTCAAATTTTTCAGTGCCAAGATTTTTCCGCATTTTAATGATGTCATTAGAAAATTTAAGCAAAATTAAGAGCTGATTAGACAAGCCATTTTTACCTTTTTATGTCAATCCTTAAATATTTAGATTACTTTAGAAGAGGACCATTTGAAAGAACAAAATGCCAAATAATAAAAGTAAAATAATGAAACCTGCATATCTGACCACCTCTCTATTCCGAACACCTCTCAATGTGAACACTTTGTCTTGATCCCAAATTGTTATATCTCCAATTGACCTACATGTTATAAAACCTTGAAATGTGAACACCTAATTCGAACACAAGGCTTGTCCCAGAGGTGTTCAGATTAAACGGTATCTACTGTACCATATCACCATAATTTTCATGTGTTCACAGTACATCCGGTACATATTGTAATATGATCTTTTAAGATTGTAAATTGACAAAGAAGGGTCAGGAATACATGGGAACAAAGGCAAAGACAAAAACAGCAATCATATGCCAGAGATGGGATGCGCAGACCCCACACAAACACACCAAAAATGATCCAAATAACTTTCCTGATAAAACAATTGGTAAGTGAAGCTGACTTATTTATTTACTTTATGTAAGCTTTATTATGAAATATAAGAAAAAGATGATTGATTGGAGAATGACCTATTGATTCACTTTATGTAAGCTTTATTATGAAATATAAGAAAAAGATGATTGATCGGAGAATGACTTATTTATTTACTTTATGTAAGCGTTATTATGAAATATAAGAAAAAGATGATTCATCGGAGAATGACTTATTGAATCACTTTATGTAAGCTTTATTATGAAATATAAGAAAAAGGATGATTGATCGGATCACAGTTGTTTCATTGTCTATTGTATGTCATTGGATTCAAGTATATAGTAAGAATCAAACTAGATTCACTAAATGACCCCATTCGTTGACTACCCATGCCCAGCACAATTAATGCAATAGAGTTGTAAAAAATATAGTTTATTTCATTTTGGTTTGACCCCAGCCCCTCTACCACAAAATTTTCATTTGTTTGAAATTCTCTTGAATATCAATGTTTCACTGACTAAAGGATAACTTCATTTACCTCTTTCTCCTAAATCACTGACAATTAGCTAAAATTCTTCAAGTAATATCAGGGGTTTCATTAGCAGCAGACCGGTTGATTTCACAAAACTGCCTGTTGTTTTTAGGAACTTTTGAACTTTTCCATGTTAAATGTATGATTTCCATTTATTTAGCCTGTTCCTGTTTGTCTTGTGAGAAATTCTAGTGAATATAATTTCATGTTTGATTACTTTGTATAAATTCAACAACTTGTTATTTGATGTCTGTAGCGGATGCCAGCAATTATTGTCGCAACCCTGATGGTGAGCCACTCGGACCTTGGTGTTATACCACAAATCCTGGCACCAGGTGGCAGTACTGTGATGTCGACTTCTGCGGTATGTTGATCATTATCATCATGATATAGCAAGGCAAATTCCACCCGTTAGAATAGGTACTCTTAAAAGAGGCTGAAAATAGAATGTATACTTTTACTCATGCTCTCTTAAAATAAACTCCTTTTTATCCCAAATCCCTAAAATTCATAGAAATTGACCTTATTTTGTATAAAATCAAATGCTTGCAAAAAATCTTCCACCAAATTATTTATATAGTTGACACTCAATATACGAGGCGGGTTGTCGGCCAGAAGTAATGCACTATATGCTCTAACTTTCTTTGATAATTTCTTTAATTCAACTGAAATTTTGTGCATATTGCAAATGATTATTTTAGAATGTAAGAGCACTAAGAAGGGGAAAGAATATGAAGGCACTATAGCAGTGACTAACAGTGGGAAGGTCTGCCAGGCTTGGAGCGCACAATCCCCACACAAACATGGTAATACGGATGCCAGTAAGTTCCCAGATGAGACCCTGACTGATGCCTCAAACTACTGCAGGTGAGGAAATTGAAGATGTACACTCCACGCGAAAAATTTTGTTTTTCAAATCCAACTTGAAAAATCATCAAGTTTGCCATTACTTTTTGATCTAATAAAATTGAGGAAAAAAATCAAAGGTTGAAATAAGACCATATTGGTAAAGAGACTGAAAAAGGCTATCTAATGAGAGTCATTGTTGCCAATGAGGGGAGTGTACCTACCTACAGTTAACATTGTTTCCATTTTGAAATCCTGTTAATCACAACTCACTAAATGAATAAATGCATGGAGTATATAATCAAGTACCGTATTTATAACAAAAAATTGTAATTTTCTTCTTTTGCAACCGAATTATTTAGAATGTGAATACGAGATATTTAAAATGTCTACCTGCATCCTTTTTAATTTAAACAGAATACTGCTATGAAAGAATTGTCACATCCCAGATTATTCCCTTTTGTTTATTTTTCTGATTGTCTGTATATTCTCAAAATGAATTTAGGAACCCAGATGGTGAACCGAATGGTCCTTGGTGTTACACAACAAATGAGCGAACACGCTGGGAATATTGCTCCATGCCTTTCTGTGACGACTACCAGCCTCCGGCAGAGACCACCCTACCACCTACAACCTTACCCCCTGGGTTCTGTCCAACAAGTGTTGGGAGAGAACCATCAGATCTCCCCCTAAAGAGTGATAATTGGGCAGCTTTGTTGGTAGATGCTGTGTTCCCATGTGATGGGGACCTTGTAGGCTGGGAGTACTTCCTCTCTGACTCTGAGGCAACACCTGTTGCCACTGTCTGGAGACTAGTCTCCGATAAAGTGTAAGATGTTTACTACATATTACAATAGGAAGGTTAAGTTACACATTTTTTAGAGAACCTGTACATTAGCACGTAATATTTCGACTCCCGGGTTTACTGTTTCCCTCTCAATTCACTTTTCCAGCAATCTAATTACAATCATTTGCATATTCATGTACCTGTATACTCAATGGCCTAGCAAACAGTACAATTCTCCCTTTCGCGATTCGCTCTTTGAATCAGAACGTTCGCAAATATGTCCTGAAAAAGCAATCAAAAAGGACAAAATTTGATTGGTCAATATTTTCTCACTATGCATTCCGCGTAGCTATTTCCGTGACCCGAAAGTTCTAAATCAAACTAATTACGCAATTTGTTTTTACACCCGCACGCTAAATAAAACAATGACAACATCGGAAGTATTCTTCTTTGTCATTGCTTTAATAGTCAGTATACCGAGTTTTAATCAATAAAAGATTGTACAATTAACAACAAAATTCGGAAACGAGTACTATAGCTTTGCTTTCGAACCACTGAACAGAGTGACCTAGATAATAGCGACGCTTCTTCTTTGGTCTACTGCTCAGTTATTTGTTGGTTTTCAACGTAACTCTATGATGTAATTTGAAGATGAATACTTTTATTCAGTTGTTGCATCGATGTTGCAGTTTGTAGTGCGGTAAGATTGGCATGAAAGTATTGAAAGTCGAATGGAATTGTTTTTTCCAATATGGCGACTAGTCAACTGATCATGTGACCTTCTCTTCCGGAATATTTTCTCACTTTTCAATCATCGCTTTCACCACGCTATGAATCAATACAATGAAAAAATAGCTGTTATATAAAGATTAATAAGAGATCAATCGTTTCTAATAATTTTTTCTGTACCCTCGTACGGGGATATGAACGAATATATCGTTTGAAAAATAGGTGTGAAAATCCCCATGTTAAACCTATGAGGGAAAACAAGGAAGTATAAATTTGTTCCTCCGCGAACTGCATCATGGGAAATATTTTGACCTTATATGGAAAGATTTTCGCGTCTCCTCTTTTGAAGAGGGAACAGCGATTTCGAAAATTGTGAGACCTCATCCACATAGGACCTCTCTACACGTTCACGTATACAAGTTTTTTAAAAAACATGTATCTTTAACCTATTTTTTATCACACTCTCCAAGAAACTGCTATTTTGTCATTTTCTTGTGCTGATGGGCATCTGGATGCATCTTGGCAGGCATAAATCTTGTCATCAAAATTCCATGTAAACCGCTTATCTTATACAGCTTGAAATTTTTGCAGATTCAAAACACACTTGAACCAACCTCTGATTAGATTTTAGGCATGCTGGGTAAATTACACAGTGGCCATACATTGTGCCCTTTAAAGTATCACACCCGTAGCCAGGGTTGGTTCGAACCCCCCCTCCCCGGCCAAAATTTCTTTCAAAATTATGCAGTTTTTCACAAATCTGAGCAATTTTCACATGATTTTTGGCTATTTTTGGGCCAAAGTTATCACAAGTGAACCCCCCTGAAATGTTTCAAAAAGTGAACCCGTTCCCTTGGCAAATCTTGGCTACGGGCCTGAATGTGATATACATATCTGATTCCCTGTGTGGCTTGTTGACTCACACATTGACCCTACACTGTATGTGATTGGTTAGATGTCCCTCCACCATTTGGCTTGAGTGTTTGACTGATTTAACACTAAAATATGTGTCTTTTAGCTACAAGATTGTCTGGAAGACACCACTAAGAAACGGTTTCCAAGGCAGGAGAGTAATGAACTTTGATAAATACTTGTCAATCAAAAAAGGAGATATGATTGGTCTACACTATCAAGGAGGTTCAAAACCAGGTAACAATTTAGAAACATACATCTCTGTTCAAAAAAGGAATATGAAAAGTTTACACTACCTAGGAGGTTCATAGAAATTTCGGCTAGATGAAAATTGCCTATACAGGTATTCCGAAAACAAGAATACTTATTTTGCAGAAATACAATTTTACCACTTATTGCCATAAGCTACAAGGTTCAATTTCTTTTAAGTTAAATTTAGTAAGAACTATACACTATCTTGATGAGGATTATAAACCAATTTCAGGTATACCAAGTAGCAGAGGGTCAGATGGTGTAGTAGGAGACAGTGAACTGTTCAACGCTATACATTTCCAAGTATTTGATGAGTTCCTAACAGAGGGAGATGAGATAGACCTGGCCAGATGGTCAACAATTAGAGTCACATATGCTCTCAGAGCTCTTTTTGATGGTATGTTCATAATTTAAATTCTTTCACTCTCAAAATGTTTTGGTTTATCTTTAGTAACACCAACACACAAGTGTAAATTTATTTACAGGTAAAGCTCAATTCTATGCCTGAATATTGAAGCTAAAAGTAAATAAAGACCAGCTTAATAATAATACATTAATAATATAATGAATAAATACAGACTATTAATCAAATGACATGTTTTAAAAAGATGGAACCTTGAAATGATAAAAATGAACATGTTAATAAGAATTCACTTTATTTTCAGGCATACCTAACTTTGGATCCACCCCTACAACTCCTGTTCCTTCCCCACCTACTTTTATACAAGGTATGTATTATTGTTTTAAATGTGATGAACTTATTTTAGTGTGGGAAGATTCTAAGGGGTCTGCCAAATGAATGTAAATGAATAAAGAAATATTATTTGGGATTTATTTCAAAAAGTTTAAACTTTGTAAAGGGAAAGTGATCTAGTTGGTCAAGTTGAAGCATGATTTTTATTCAAAAGTTCTTTTAGGTAAATTGGCTACAATAAGGGACTCCTCGTGAGTTGTTGGTTGACATTAAGAAAATCCATACAACCAAAATTGTCAATTTTATCTCATACAAAAGCGTATAACATTTCTGAGGTAAAGTTATGGTGCAATAATGGGATATTTCATTTCAAACAACAGCGAGACAGACATTTTCTCACTGGAGACATTTCCATGACATAATAAGTAAACTAATCACAAGTTAAATCGACATGTTTGTGTGATTTCTATTTGAATCGTCCCATTTGAGTTTGACTCATCCCAGACAATCACATGACTGAGACTGGCCAATCAGATACTGTGAATTGCAATGGTCTCGTGAGTAAGAACTTGTACATATTCTCTGTATTTTTTTTACAGGTTGCCGCACTACTACACTTGGAAAGGAGTATATGGGAATGGAGCATAAGACAAGGGAGGGTTATGTGTGTCAACGTTGGGACTCCCAGGAACCTCATTCTCACTCAAGGTACTCCATGATTCAGTTTATGTTGAACATAGTTTATTTATTGCAAATTTTTGGTGATTTTTCAAAAATGGTTGCTCAATCCAAAATGTCCACCATATTGAAAATTTCCAAAAAAAAGATAGAGAGCTTAAAAAGTTGGATGTTATAAACATTATCACTGTTAATTCACCCAATGCTTGTTTAAATCATGTTAAGTATCCAAAAGTATCTTATTCCATCCTCGAAACAAAACTTTATCCACCCATTGCTTGTATAGAGAAAAATCTTAAGCGTGGATGCTGTTTTATTTAGGACTGACCCGACTGCATTCCCAGACAGAACCCTCGCTGAGGCTCGTAACTATTGTCGCAACCCTGATGGTGAGCCTGAGGGTCCTTGGTGCTATACTACTGATCCTGCTAAAAGATGGCAGTACTGTATCATTCCCTGGTGTGGTAAGTTGTGTCATTGTTTTTTAGACTGTGGTAAATTATATAAGTGAATATTTCATTTTAATGATCAAAAAAGACTGGTAGTGACTGGAATAAAGTACATTTGGCACCTTCCTTAACTCCTTCAAGGGCAACACTCTCCTTTTTTAAGTTCCTACATGTTGTATATTGTATATTATATTATCGATACAAATGGCCATTGTACCAATGTAATGCCCTCGGCTGATTGTCATTAAAAACATTTGATATAATTAAATACATGTATTAACTTAAAAATGAAATTTGACATTTGACACAGCTCTGATGACAGATTTATGTCTAAATCAAAGCCTTCAGTCATGATTCCCCACACATTCTCTGATTACATTTTTCAGATTGTAAGACTACTAACAAAGGTCTTGAATACAATGGTCACCTGGCAACAACAGTAAACAACCACAGGTGTCAGAGATGGGACTCCCAATACCCACATGGACATCCATACATAGACCCCAATCTGTACCCAGACAGGTAATAATGATACAGTAAAACCTGTAAAGAAGAACAACTTTATAGTTGGAATACCTCCGTTAATGGAACACTTCAGGTTGTCGCACTATTGGGAACCAACAAGGGGGGCCAAATATCAGGTCAGAGCAAAAAAATGTTGGGCCCATAAAACCTTAAAGTGGGCCCAAATTTTGAAATTTTGAGGCCCATTTTCTTCAATATTTGGCCTGAAATTAAAAAATAAGGCCTTTAAAGGCCCAGTAATGACCAAAAAAGCCCACTTTTAGGGGCCTTAAGGCCTTTTTTGGCCTAAAAATTGAAAGGAGCATCAGAATCTTATGACAAATGGACTTAATGTGAAATGAGTTCCACTTACACAGGTTTTACTGTATTACAGTTCTTTTACAGTCATCCATATTCTTATTATAGTGGATGCTATAGTCTAGTAATTATTAACTTTTTGTGGATTTTGTTTGGCGGTTGGAGTTGTGGTCAATGTTTGGTGGTTGGAGTTGTGGTCAGTGTTTGGTGATCGGCGTCTGTAACAAATGGGCCAAATTGCAGGTGGTGAAGTTTAGCATGTCAATGCCTTGTATATTTCATGTCATATATCTTCTGACTCAGCTCCAAGATTCAGAGGATCTTTGTTTTGGCTCCCAGCTCCTACGCTTTTTTCGTTTGGAGTTTTGCCATCATTTTCTCTGAATGGTGCCATTCTCTCATACAAATCATTTTCTCTGAATGGTGCCATTCTCTCATTCAAATCATTTTCTCTGAATGGTGCCATTCTCTCATTCAAATCATTTTCTCTGAATGGTGCCATTCTCTCATTCAAATCATTTTCTCTGAATGGTGCCATTCTCTCATTCAAATCATTTTCTCTGAATGGTGCCATTCTCTCATTCAAATCATTTTCTCTGAATGGTGCCATTCTCTCATTCAAATCATTTTCTCTGAATGGTGCCATTCTCTCATTCAAATCATTTTCTCTGAATGGTGCCATTCTCTCATTCAAATCATTTTCTCTGAATAGTGCCATTCTCTCATTCAAATCATTTTCTCTGAATGGTGCCATTCTCTCATTCAAATCATTTTCTCTGAATGGTGCCATTCTCTCATTCAAATCATTTTCTCTGAATGGTGCCATTCTCTCATTCAAATCATTTTCTCTGAATGGTGCCATTCTCTCATTCAAATCATTTTCTCTGAATGGTGCCATTCTCTCATTCAAATCATTTTCTCTGAATGGTGCCATTCTCTCATTCAAATCATTTTCTCTGAATAGTGCCATTCTCTCATTCAAATCATTTTCTCTGAATGGTGCCATTCTCTCATTCAAATCATTTTCTCTGAATGGTGCCATTCTCTCATTCAAATCATTTTCTCTGAATGGTGCCATTCTCTCATTCAAATCATTTTCTCTGAATGGTGCCATTCACTCATTCAAATCATTTTCTCTGAATGGTGCCATTCTCTCATTCAAATCATTTTCTCTGAATGGTGCCATTCTCTCATTCAAATCATTTTCTCTGAATGGTGCCATTCTCTCATTCAAATCATTTTCTCTGAATGGTGCCATTCTCTCATTCAAATCATTTTCTCTGAATGGTGCCATTCTCTCATTCAAATCATTTTCTCTGAATGGTGCCATTCTCTCATTCAAATCATTTTCTCTGAATAGTGCCATTCTCTCATTCAAATCATTTTCTCTGAATGGTGCCATTCTCTCATTCAAATCATTTTCTCTGAATGGTGCCATTCTCTCATTCAAATCATTTTCTCTGAATGGTGCCATTCTCTCATTCAAATCATTTTCTCTGAATGGTGCCATTCTCTCATTCAAATCATTTTCTCTGAATGGTGCCATTCTCTCATTCAAATCATTTTCTCTGAATGGTGCCATTCTCTCATTCAAATCATTTTCTCTGAATGGTGCCATTCTCTCATTCAAATCATTTTCTCTGAATGGTGCCATTCTCTCATTCAAATCATTTTCTCTGAATGGTGCCATTCTCTCATTCAAATCATTTTCTCTGAATGGTGTCATTCTCTCATTCAAATCATTTTCTCTGAATGGTGCCATTCTCTCATTCAAATCATTTTCTCTGAATAGTGCCATTCTCTCATTCAAATCATTTTCTCTGAATGGTGCCATTCTCTCATTCAAATCATTTTCTCTGAATGGTGCCATTCTCTCATTCAAATCATTTTCTCTGAATGGTGCCATTCTCTCATTCAAATCATTTTCTCTGAATGGTGCCATTCTCTCATTCAAATCATTTTCTCTGAATGGTGCCATTCTCTCATTCAAATCATTTTCTCTGAATGGTGCCATTCTCTCATTCAAATCATTTTCTCTGAATAGTGCCATTCTCTCATTCAAATCATTTTCTCTGAATGGTGCCATTCTCTCATTTAAAGAAAGGGGAATGGGTTCTGGAGCCCAGAGCCACAGAAAAATGTATGGTAAATTGGTGTCTCATAGTTCAAGACTTAGTGCATTTCCCATATATCTCATTGGAAAAGACGTACACACAAATGTACTGTACATGTATAATGTAATTTGAATATTCTAGCTCATTAGCGGAAGCTGCCAACTATTGCCGCAACCCTAGTAAACAGGCTACCGGACCTTGGTGCTATACGACGGAACCATTTATTGAGAAAGAATCCTGCGACATTAATTTCTGTGGTAAGATATGATATAAGATAATTGTGCTCTTCTCTGTCTCTCTTCATTTGAAGAGGTTAACCTATAAAGGGACTGAGAAGAGTACATGTAGTCCAAGGATGAGATTTGTTACTTTATAGATGGGTGAATAGATCGCAGTTATGCTTTAGTAAATAAACAGGCTAGAGAAATACACTATACAAAAAAGACAAAAGTCACTTAATTTCTGTATGTATCAAATATTCTATTGGACTTAATTTTAAAGTGATGACATTTCCATTTTGTGATTCTGATAGTTGCAACTAACAGACATACAGAGATGAAATAACAAAGGCCACAGTGATCTAATCTTTCATAAGATGTACACAGCAGGCCCCTAGCCAGGATTTGCCAAAAGGGGGTTCTATTTACAAAAATTTCCAGGGGGGGTTCACATTTGACAATTCTGGCCCAAATTAGGCTAAAATCACTTGAGAAGTGCTCAAAATGGTCAAAAACTGCATGATTTTGAAAGAATTTTTGGCCAGGGGGGGTGTTCGCCTGAACTCTGCGAACCCCCCCTGGCTACGGGCCTGCACAGAATGTTGTATTGATCCACACATCACATTTCCAGAATGTAAGACAGACAAGCTGGGCAAGACATACCAAGGGAGACTGTCCATTACCAGAAGTGGAAAGACCTGCCAGAGATGGAGCTCACAGAGCCCCCATGGACACAGCAACACAGACCCCAGTAAATTCCCAGATGGCACAATAGAGGAAATCTTCAACTATTGCCGCAACCCTGATAACGAGCCGGAAGGTCCTTGGTGTTATACAACAGACAGAGACACTAGATGGGAGTACTGTAATGTACAACCGTGTGGTGAGTTATATGGATTTATTCTGTACAGTGAAACTTTCAATAATGAACACCTCCCTGAGTTGAACACATGTTCTTAGTGAACACCAGAAGCTATTTTATTGAATCTGTTTATAATAAGAAAATCTCTGGGGTTAACTTAACATCTACTTAGGTGTTCACTATACTCAGGTTTTACTGTAAAGTAACGTAAAGAAAGCGGAATTAACAATTAAGGTATGTGTTAAAAATTGTTTTTTGACATGGATCCGCAATGTAGTTCTTTGTAATGTCTCATTTTAATTGTAAAGTTCTTTTATTAAACAATTATCTTGTCATAGTGAACAAACAAATTGTTAGATAAAATACTTGTAAACATAATATGTTGTCATAGTGAATCATTATATGTTTGTACAAGTAACAAATGTCAGTATTAAATGTTATTTTTTGTTTCAGATATATACAAGAGCACAACAGTCATCCCCCCAACTTCAACAACCAGGAAACCAAAGACCACATTAGCACCAGGTAAGCTTATAATAGGCTGTACTGTCAAGGTCAAGGGTCAATGTAATGAAAGAAATACGAAAATTCATGTATTATTTGTCCCACCTCTCAATTACTAACAAATAGGATGAACATCTGTGATGTTTCCAAAAATAAATTTAGTGGATCGAGCTATGCTATTAATTTTATTGTAACAGTATTATTTTCTCTAAAAATAAACATCAACATTTTTCAGGAACTTGTCCAAATAAGATAGGAAGAGATCCAACAGATCTTCCACGTCGAGGTGGAAACTGGGCCCACCTAATGCTCTCCAATAGTTTCCCTTGCGATGGTGTCATCACCGGGATCCAATACTTCCGCAGCGATCCTGACAGTATTGCATTCTTCGGTGTGTGGCGCCCCCTGGGAGGAAGAGTGTTTAGAGTTGTCAAGAAGATCACGCTTGGGCCGAGTGCACCTGGATTTGTCACTGTACAACTTAGTTCAGATATTCCAGTGATTATTGGCGACTTCTTAGGAATTCACTACAGGAAGTAAGTATTCAAGTCATGAACTTAGATTGAAAGAAATATGGTATGATGAAACATTTTAAAAGATATAGAGCTAGCTCAGAAAATATGTCATATATGTGTTTAATATTCTTTTATTTTGTGTTTCAAGAAACCTAGCTATTTTATAAACATATACTCCCAAATTTTTACTCATTGTTTTTTAAGAAACCCTTTGCCTAATGCATCTGTAAGGAATCTTGGTTTTTCAAATATTAGGTTTTGCCCATTGTTTTTGATAAAACCTAGTTTGTTTCAAATATTACCAAATTTTTGCATATTGTTTTTTTAAGAAACAACTATTTCAAATATTTCCAAATTTTTGCCAACAAAGTATTTTTAAGAAACCTAGCAATTTCAGACTCAATTTTTGCAGCTGTTCCAAAAAGTACCAAATTTATGCACATTGTTTTTATTAGAAACCTAGTTTGACCAAATTTTTGCATATTGTTTTTTTAAGAAACAACTATTTCAAATATTTCCAAATTTTTGCCAACAAAGTATTTTTAAGAAACCTAGCAATTTCAGACTCAATTTTTGCAGCTGTTCCAAAAAGTACCAAATTTATGCACATTGTTTTTATTAGAAACCTAGTTTGACCAACTCAAGAAACTGGACTCCATGTATGTACATGTATTTCTATATTGCAGAACAGAGACAAACCCGGCCATACCCAACTCTAGAGGGAAAGATGGTGTTGTATCAGATGATGAGCTCTTTACCACTATCAACCTCCCATTGTATGATGAAAGTATCACTGAAGGCCAGGACATTAACATTGGGCCCACTGGAAGAATGAAGAGTACATTTGCTCTGTCAGCAAACTTCAGAGGTTTGTGGACCATGTTAAAAAGTATGAGTTTTAGGATATCCTATGATTTTTGAGGGATATCATTTTTATCCATTGTGGATATTGCCAATCTCCATGAGTGAGCACAGCAGATATGATTTTAGTTATCCCCATATATATATATTTGTATAGTATAGGATATCCTATGATTTTGAGGGATATCACTTTTATCCATGAGTTAATATCAATATCTGGATGAGTGAGCGTAGCAAATGAGTGCAGCTATTTCACAAAATTTCATAGGATGTTCTATTTATCCCATAGTTCACGAATTATAAAACTAAGCCAAACATTTCATAACAACTTCTCTGGAATATTCTCTGTATTCCAGATATTGCTTTTTTCCACGCATTTGCAAAATATCATGAATAATATATGTACATGTTATCCCACAGAACTGACCTCAACTATGGGATAATAATAAAATATGTTTTTAACATCAGTAACTGCACATCAACAACAAAATGAACTGTGTTTTTGTAGGCAATCCATTCACCCCTTCATTGTCTCCGCCTATGACGACCGCATCCCCCAGCACCCTAGCAACCACAACAAGTGGACCCATTAGTGGGGCTTGTAAGTTCTCAGAAATGGGCACTGAGTACAGAGGCACTCTCAGTCAGACTTGGTCTGGCAAGTCATGTCAACGCTGGGATTCTCAATCACCCTGGGTGAGTTTCTGTTTTATTGTAAACACTCTGTGTAATCCATTGTAGGTCATCATTAGTAAACCCATTAGGGGGCATCCTGGGTAAGTTGATGCCCTTCTGGTGCACCTTGGGTAAGAGTATTTCTTTCCTGAGGTGCCCTAGTATTACAGAGAGGCATGCTGGGTAACATCATCTCCTAGATGTCACATTGCATCAGTTCATTCCCTAATTGGTTACACCTGGTAAATGTTTGCATATTTTTGGTACACATGGGTTCATTTTTGATACAATCTTAACTTACAATCTACCAATCAACCATGGTCTACTTTTTGCAAACAATGACTTGAGACCAGATCGTAAGTTACAACGGTTCAAAAAACAGACCCTTGGGTGATAATTAAGTACATGTTTCAATATAGTTTTGAATCTTGGATTTTTTGGATGTCATCACTGGCTGTGACAGCATCCTGTAGATTTATTTGTTATTAACTAATTTAGTTGTCATTTTAGTATCGATAACCCTACTTTTATTTAATAAATATTCCAACTGATCCCAGATGTCTTCACCATCACTAAGGTACATGTACATGTAACTAGGGTATTTTGCCTCATTTCAGTCCCACACACCTTATAAAGGAAGTCAGTTCCCAGAAGGGTCAGTATCAGGTGCAAACAACTATTGCCGTAACCCTGACAATGAACAATTTGGTCCATGGTGCTTCACAACTGATCCTGCCACTAGATGGGAGTACTGCTCTGTCCCCTTCTGTGGTAAGGATAATTCAAGCAAAATAAACATCACTGTTGAATGACTTTTCATTTACATGTCTCTTTTATTTACGTAATAGTCTGATGCAGAGGAGGAAAGTTAGAACTAACCTTCTTAGAGTACAGTAAATTTCAGTTCCAGAATTAATTTATAAAACAAAATGGCCCTTAATTTTGACATTGTTTATACATGTATTGGCTTTTGAGTTATTAACTCACCCTGGTATTTTACAATGACAATTTCTCAGATAACTGGTAATAATAATTTCCTCGTAGATTGTAAGATGACGCCACTGGGTAAGATGTACAGAGGGAGCCTCAGTACTTCTGTTTCGGGTTATACTTGTCAAGAGTGGGACAGGCAGATACCTAACCCCCACCCTGTATTCAAAAATGAAGACTTCCCAGACAGGACAGTCAAAGAGGCTGGTAACTACTGCAGGTAACAGTACTGTTTCACATGCGATACACTTTCAATTTTGAACTATTTTTTCATCATTAAATAGATGCAGTGTTATGTTTGATAAAGGCTGTGGCACGTTAAGGTATAGATAAATGTCCTCAATTTTTGTTTCTAGTTGAGCTTGCAAAAAATTACAGAATTGCAAAATGCCATCTAATTTTTAGACAGGACATAAGGAAGTCAAATCTCCAATAGCCTAATCTAAGATTAGATGTTTTTGCATTTTTAAAAGGATTAGTTATTTGCATGTGTAATATTATACTCCAGGAATCCCACAAACGAGCCTGGTGGTCCTTGGTGTTATATCGATGATCCTAAAGCGGATACAACATCTTGGGAATACTGTCTTCTTGACTATTGCGGTGAGCATACCCCCTCCCCACACAAACACAAATTAAATCTACCCTCTGTCTGAAATTAGATTATAATTGATTATTAAATATTTATCAACGTATGGATCATACGATCTGCTGAAGTTTGAAGTATTTTCATTTGAAGAATGGGGCAATCAATTTATTTTGTTGTGTCAGGTCATTGATCAAAATAATTTTAGAATGTTTTCTGTACAAACACCTCTTATATTTTGATATGATCCACTTTTTCAGATTGCAAACTGGACAACATTGGAAGTGATTACCAGGGTACCATATCACAAACAGCAGATGGCATTCAATGTCAGCACTGGGATTCGCAGACACCTCACTCCCACCCCGTCTTTGACGCCAGCCAATTTCCAGACTCAACAGTGAAAGAGGCTTCCAACTATTGTAGGAACCCTACAGGGATTATAACTGGGCCATGGTGCTACACTATGAACCCCAATGTAGTATCAGCAGTGTGTGATATACCATCTTGTGGTATGTATGACCTTTGATATATTGATCTTTTATGGAAGTAATTTCTATTGTTACCTTTTACTTGAAATACAGTGAATTATGAAATAACTTCTTTCCATAGAGAAATATGTGACAAAATATTGATCACCTTACAGTGGGTGAAATAAGCTACACTTAAACCTATTCAAGTGGTATATTGAAGGAAATACTAAAAATGAAACCACATTTTGCAATTCAACATTTGAAATGAAGTGCAGTCTACAGATAAATAAAAGAAATAATCAAAAATCTCAAATAAAAATATGGATGTTTCTGATTAAGCCTGTTCCATATATTATTTCTGAATATTTACAGGTGTGACTATACCCACCACCCCAGGGCCATCCACAACACCCACAACCCCCCAGATCACCACCCCCAAGTATGGACCCCAGGAAGAGTGCAAGTATTCCCATATGGGCAAAGAATACATGGGCAGCTTCTCTAAGACCAGCAGTGGTAAGTATCACATTTACAAACAAGTTATGGCATACATGTAATATGACATGTAACAATACTAAACTGGAATAAATAACAAGCATAAATAACACCATCTGGTCCAAAATCTGTTCATGTATCTGTTCAGTGGGCAGCTTCTCCAAGACCAGCAGTGGTAACCTCTATATCTTATTTGCAAAGAAATAATAAATGGAATCTCTGTCATTGTATCACATTGTTGTCATGGTAACACAGCAGGGTTTTAAATTATTTTTTTTTCGAATTTTATAAATGAATTCTTCTTCATCTGTATTTGTAAATGCTGTTTTCAAGGCTGTTTCTTAAACATATTTATTGCTATTTACTGATGCTATGAGATATGTTTTGTAAAAATCAATATGTTTTACTTTAGGCCTCAATTGTCAGCGTTGGGATTCACAATTCCCCCACAATCACAATAACAATGATCCGGATAAATTCCCTGATGCAACTCTTGGTGATGCTGCCAATTACTGCAGGTAAAATCCTCAAATGCTGTTTCAATTAATTTATAAACCATCACCCAATCATTGGGTATTGTGGCTTGGAGCTTCCCTCAATTATGATCCATAATAGTTCCCTAATGAATTCTCTATGTCATTACCAGAAATGATCACATATTGTTATTTTCTCCAACTCTTTTGTGGGCAGTGTTCGACTGTTGGTGGTTGGTGTTTGGTGTTCGATGTCTGTAACAAATGACAGGTGGTGACATTTTGCATGTTAATACCTTGATTTTTTTATCCAACAGCATGTAGTTTAAGAATTTAGGAACCTACATACACTCTTGTAGAATAACTGACAGTTACTATGGTAGCTTAAAAGTTGTATAGGATGGATCAAGCTGCAAGTTGTCCTCATATATTAAGTGTAACATATGTGTAAACTGTATCCTTTGAATTGTAGAAACCCCGACAATGAACCAACTGGACCTTGGTGCTACACTACGGATGAAAACACAAGATGGGAATACTGCACTGTTCCGTTCTGCGGTTAGTTGTTATATTTAACAGTAGGAATGGCTCACACAAATAATTTTGTAAAACGTGTTCATGACAGACATCAATGTTGGAGGAGCAGTGGCAAATCTAATGCCCAGAAAGAGCCCAATCATTGTCAAATGACTATAATGTCTTTATTTTGTCTTTGGCTTATGAGATGAGAGATATAAATCCTGATTATATCAAGTTTTATGTATCATAACTGCTGATGTACTTTTTGTTATATGAATTTTGTATCTGTTTAGACTGTAAAGTTACTGAGATAGGGAAAGAGTACAAAGGACACATCTCACAGACTAATGCCTTCAAGACATGCCAAAGATGGGACTCTCAAACACCAAATACTCACCCAAGGTACGTAAAGGTATCAAATCAAGAATAAAGAAGTACATGTAATTTTTTCATGACCATTCATTGCAAAATTTTGAAATACATACAGATTTAAAGGCGCATACCCTCATAGGAAATCAAATGGGACTTACCCATATGTTATTCCAGATTGTTGGTATTTTGGCCTCTTAACCTGTGCGCTTTATCTGAGTGATTAAAAAATATTCGATATCCAATATTAAAATAGAAAATTTTGAGGGTTGACATGAAAAATTCTTCTGACTGCAAAAGAATTCAACTTACATTTACATGTGTGTATTTCCATTTAAAGTTACAATCCAAATGATTTCCCTGAGGACACAATATCTGAGGCAGCTAACTATTGTCGAAACCCCAATGGCCAACCCCAAGGTCCATGGTGCCACACAACTGACCCCTCCATCAAGTGGCAGTACTGTAATGTTGGCTTCTGTGGTAAGTATATACACAATCTTATGTGAACACAAAATCATATGGTTTGAGCAGATCAAATTCAGTAAATTGTGTCCAATTAACATGAGTGAAGAAATGTGCTCAAAGCCTCATATGCAGATACCTTTAATACAGTTAAACATGTCTTAGTGAACATCCCTTCTCAGCACGTACTCCACTGACATCAGTAAAAAATCGCATCTATAATGACCACGTGAACATATATTTGTGGCTCTATAGGTGTTTTCTGTACACAGGTTTTACTGTACACTTTTGTAAAACGAGCTTATATTTCAGAGTGTAAGACAAGCAGCCTTGGGGAGCAATACAGAGGACAGAAGACCACAACTATAACTGGCAAAACTTGTCAGCGCTGGGATCAGCAATACCCACACAAACATGACAGGTAGAAAACACTGATTTTAACACCAATAGTAACTTGAAAAATGGATCTCCCATGCCACTAGCCAGAATTTTCCAAGGGGGGTTCACTTTTCCCAAAAATTCTAGGGGGGTGGTTCACTTTTCCCAAAAATTCTAGGGGGGTGGTTCACTTTGGCAAATTTAGCCAAAAATCACTCAAAAAGTAGTCAGAATTCTCCTAAATGCAAAATATGCAATATCATTATGTGAACACCAGAAGTGGTGAAATATTCTTATAGTCTCCAACGTTTTTGTTTTCGGCGATCAGTGTCTAATAAATGGTAGGTGGTGACATTTTGCATGTTAATTCCTTGTTTTCATTGTCGTTGGCGTAAATGACAGTGATATCTCCCTTTTCTTGACTTTTTGACATGATTGGTTAATTTAAAATTTAGGAATGTCTAATTCTCTCACTCACTTTTAGGTATAACCCGGCTATGTTCCCTGACAATAGTGTGGCTGAAGCTGGTAACTTCTGCCGTAATCCAGACAACAGCCCTCGTGGCCCCTGGTGCTTCACAACTGACCCAAGTAAAGAATGGGAGTGGTGTTCAGTCCCTGTATGTGGTAAGAAAGCACTACATAAACAGTATATCTGTTCACATTATTATTTATTGATTAATAGAATTAATCTTTTAAATTTTATTTTAAATTTTATTGGTTATAAAATTATTATTATCATGATTAATAAAATGAATTGTTCTCATCTGGTGAACTTAGCTGTTCAATAACCCTGACAATGGGTGTAATTGTTTTCAGTCATTTATCATAAATATGTTAAAACTAAATGTACATGTTGCAGTTATATATGTTATCTTCTTCCAGAGATGTATGACTTGCCAACCCCACCTCCACCTATCATAGCCCCAAGAGGTAAATCAAAAAACTTACTTTGGACCTGACAGAAATGATATGCTAATAAATGATTTCATAAATTTTGCTTTTTGCATTTTAAAAACAAAATTCATTATACAGTTTCACATACATTTGATACTGATAGTAAACCTGTTTTTAGACTGTAAGACATCAGACATGGGTACAGAATACAGAGGTCGGAAGTCTTGGACTAAGACTGGTAAACAATGTCAACGATGGGACTCACAGACCCCACATGCGCATGAAAAGTAATCAGCAAATTATTAACCTCATAGTTTTCACATAAGAATGGGTACTGCCATTATGCTTGAATAAGGCCCAGCTTTTCAAAACACCTGTGCATACTTCATTTTTTCAAATGCACTGATATTCATTTATTTTTAACTTATTGGTTCATCAATATCAGATATAGATATAAAAAAATTAATTGCCGTATTCTCTCTTAATGAGCGCACAATGCAGTTTCCAAACTTAGATTTTAAAGGGTTTTCTTGAGACCATATTCAACATAAAAGTAACATGTGCGTTCATTGGAACTGTGCTCTCATTATAGAGAATACGGTAATTCAAAATGAAAGACCTACAAACCATATTAAGAAGTTTATGTTTTATTTAGCTATGATGCCAACATGTTCCCTGATGTCTCAGTGGCTGATGCGGGCAACTTCTGCAGGAACCCCGACCTTTCTCACACAGGACCTTGGTGCTATACAATTGACCCTAATACAGAGTGGGAGTATTGTGATATAGACTGGTGTGGTGAGTTGTCTTTAGTACTGTTTATGTGTCATATTTTTTTTATTTATCAGCTACATGTATGAATTAGAGAGTCATTGACTGGTGCAGTAAATTGTCCTTGGCATATGTGCTATATTTATTTTATTCATCAATTATGAATAAGTGGATCTGAATTTCTCAATGAGGGCCTGGATTGTCCAGTCATAGTGATTTTGGTATATTTTTACATGGTAGACACATATATATATAAGTTTGGCTTTGTTCTGTTCTCTGATTTGTTGAACGGCAAACTGTCAATGATAGATCCATTAAGGATGGGGTCTTCTTACCAATGAGCTCATTTTTGCTATTAACTGTTGTTTGTTTCAGAATGCAAACATAGTAAGCTTGGATCTAAGTACGTTGGTACCATACACTCAACAGTAAAGGGGGTGCCATGTCAGCGTTGGGACTCGCAATCCCCTCATCAACATGACAGAATTGATGCATCAAAGTTCCCTGATGCAACTCTAGGGGATGCTGCTAATTATTGCCGTAATCCTGATGGAGAACCTGGTGGCCTATGGTGCTATACTTCAGATCCGGGCCAACGATGGGATTACTGTGATATTCCTCATTGTCGTGAGTACCTGTATCACTGTAACCTTTAAGCCCAAAATACACCAATGGGGCAAAATCCCAACTTGCCCATGGAGTCCCACAGAGTCCATGGAGCAAAATTCCCACGAGGTCCTGCACAATGTTAAGTCTATGGAGGTTCCACCACGCCCCATTGATGTATGTTGGACTTTAGACACTTTTTATGTCCTCACCACATACATGTAGTGCTGGCCCATATTGTATTCATCTAAGATTTAGTACTGTAAAACCTGTCTTAGTGAACACTTCTCTCTAGTGAACATGTTGTTTAGTGAACACTTCTCCGAGACACATTTTACATCGACTCCTGTATAATATCCCCTCTCTCTAGCAAACACCTGTGTCTAGTGAACAACTCTTCTCAGCATATACTCCACTGAGTTCTGTATAAAATCCCCCCTCTCTAGCAAACACCTGTGTCTAGTGAACAACTCTTCTCAGCATATACTCCACTGAGTTCTGTATAAAATCCCCCCTCTCTAGCGAACACCTGTGTCTAGTGAACAACTCTTCTCAGCATATACTCCACTGAGTTCTGTATAAAATCCCCCCTCTCTAGCAAACACCTGTGTCTAGTGAACAACTCTTCTCAGCATATACTCCACTGAGTTCTGTATAAAATCCCCCCTCTCTAGCGAACACCTGTGTCTAGTGAACAACTCTTCTCAGCATATACTCCACTGAGTTCTGTATTAATCCCCTCTCTCTAGTGAACACCTGTGTCTAGTGAACAACTCTTCTCAGCATATACTCCACTGAGTTCTGTATTAATCCCCTCTCTCTAGCGAACACCTGTGTCTAGTGAACAACTCTTCTCAGCATATACTCCACTGAGTTCTGTATTAATCCCCCCTCTCTAGTGAACACCTGTGTCTAGTGAACAACTCTTTTCAGCACATACTCCACTGAGTTCTGTATTAATCCCCCCTCTCTAGCGAACACCTGTGTCTAGTGAACAACTCTTCTCAGCATATACTCCACTGAGTTCTGTATTAATCCCCTCTCTCTAGTGAACACCTGTGTCTAGTGAACAACTCTTTTCAGCACATACTCCACTGAGTTCTGTATTAATCCCCCCTCTGTAGCGAACACCTGTGTCTAGTGAACAACTCTTCTCAGCATATACTCCACTGAGTTCTGTATAAAATCCCCCCTCTCTAGCAAACACCTGTGTCTAGTGAACAACTCTTCTCAGCATATACTCCACTGAGTTCTGTATAAAATCCCCCCTCTCTAGCAAACACCTGTGTCTAGTGAACAACTCTTCTCAGCATATACTCCACTGAGTTCTGTATAAAATCCCCCCTCTCTAGCAAACACCTGTGTCTAGTGAACAACTCTTCTCAGCATATACTCCACTGAGTTCTGTATAAAATCCCCCCTCTCTAGCGAACACCTGTGTCTAGTGAACAACTCTTCTCAGCCCATACTCCACTGAGTTCTGTATAAAATCCCCCCTCTCTAGCGAACACCTGTGTCAACTGAACAACTCTTCTCAGCCCATACTCCACTGAGTTCTGTATAAAATCCCCTCCCTGTAATGAACACTTACCTACAGTGAACACCTTTTTGTACCTCCATAGGTGTTCACTATATAGAGGTTTTACTGTGTATGAGGTAGGTCATTAGACTTATTTCTTTGTTTCATGTAGCATGTAAGCAGGATTACACTGGCAACAAGTATGAAGGTACCAAACAAGTAACACAACTTGGCTTCACGTGCCAGAGATGGGATCAGCAGACTCCTCATTCCCACCCATACAGAATACCTACCTACTTCCCTGATCGTACAATGGATGATGCTTCCAACTACTGTCGTAATCCAAACAATGATCCAGTTGGTCCTTGGTGTTATACAACGAACCCAGCAAAGGAGAAGGACTACTGCATGATACCATTCTGCTGTATGTTCCGACACTTATTAACTTTGAATCGTTTAAATTCAGTGTCTAATACTAATTATCAATTTTGAAATATTTGTCTTAGATGTAGAGTTCTGTCTATGTTACAGCTCGGTCCAATTTGTCTTATTTTCTTGTGGGATATGAACTTTCAGCCTCATACTCAAAATTGAGACATACTTTTGAAAAAAAAAATTGTGTTAAATAACTGATCAGCATTAATATTTGATTTGTTGTCATCTTGAACTGTTATTTTTTTTATTGTATCCTGGAATTCTTGCTGACATTGGCACTGTTTTTCCAGCATTATTCTCCACAACGGAAACGCCACCTTCAACAACCCCCACCATTCCCCAGGTCACTACCCCCAAGTATGGGCCCCAGGAAGAGTGCAAGTATTCCCATATGGGCAAAGAATACATGGGCAGCTTCTCAAAGACCAGCAGTGGTAAGTATCACATTTACAAACAAGTTATGGAATACATGTAATATCACATTTGCAAAAACTTGAATAAATAGCGAGCGTTTAACACCAACAGGTCTAAAATCTGTTTATGTATTAATACATACATGTATATACACAATTTCTGTCACTGTGAAAGTTGTCATACTCATAAACTGTCAGCATAAATGGATACTAAAAAGAAACTACTAAAAACTCTATCCAACTCTCTATATTCCTCTTTCCATATTGAGCAAGAAAGATCATCTGATTCTTAATTTTTGAGAGAAATGTATTGCTTCATATAAAGATTTCAAATAACTACCTGATGTAAAGTAACTTATCACGTATATGTGAATTGCAATTTAGGTTGTATTGATATAATATTATATTTCTTATTTTAGGCCTCAATTGTCAGCGTTGGGACTCCCAGTTCCCCCACAATCACAATAACAATGATCCGGATAAATTCCCTGATGGAAGCGTCACTGATGCTTCAAATTTCTGCAGGTAAGTCCTTGTTATAAGTGCACCTTGATTTCCAATTACTGCAGGTGAGTCCTTGTTATAAGTGCACCTTGATTTCCAATTACTGCAGGTAAGTCCTTGTTATAAGTGCGCCTTGATTTCCAATTACTTCAGGTAAGTCCTTGTTATAAGTGCACCTTGATTTCCAATTACTGCAGGTAAGTCCTTGTTATAAGTGCACCTTGATTTCCAATTACTTCAGGTAAGTCATTGTTATATACAAGTGCACCTTGATTTCCAATTACTGCAGGTAAGTCCTTGTTATAAGTGCGCCTTGATTTCCAATTACTTCAGGTAAGTCCTTGTTATAAGTGCACCTTGATTTCCAATTACTTCAGGTAAGTCCTTGTTATAAGTGCACCTTGATTTCCAATTACTGCAGGTAAGTCCTTGTTGTAAGTGCACCTTGATTTCCAATTACTGCAGGTAAGTCCTTGTTGTAAGTGCACCTTGATTTCCAATTACTGCAGGTGAGTCCTTGTTATAAGTGCACCTTGATTTCCAATTACTGCAGGTAAGTCCTTGTTATAAGTGCGCCTTGATTTCCAATTACTTCAGGTAAGTCCTTGTTATAACTGCGCCTTGATTTCCAATTACTGCAGGGGAGTCCTTGTTATAAGTGCGCCTTGATTTCCAATTAATGCAAGTAAGTCCTTGTTATAAGTGTGCCTTGATTTCCAATTACTGCAGGTAAGTCCTTGTTGTAAGTGCACCTTGATTTCCAATTACTGCAGGTAAGTCCTTGTTGTAAGTGCACCTTGATTTCCAATTACTGCAGGTAAGTCCTTGTTGTAAGTGCACCTTGATTTCCAATACTGCAGGTGAGTCCTTGTTGTAAGTGCATTTTGATTTCCAATTACTGCAGGTAAGTCCTTGTTATAAGTGTGTCTTGATTTCCAATTACTGCAAGTAAGTCCTTGCTATAAGTGTGCCTTGATTTCCAATTACTGCAGGTGAGTCCTTGTTATAAGTGTGCCTTGAATTCCAATTACTGCAGGTGAGTCCTTGTTATAAGTGTGCCTTGGTTTCCAATTACTGCAAGTAAGTCCTTGCTATAAGTGTGCCTTGATTCCCAATTACTGCAGGTGAGTCCTTGTTATAAGTGTGCCTTGATTTCCAATTACTGCAAGTGAGTCCTTGTTATAAATGTGCCTTGATTTCCAATTACTGCAAGTAAGTCCTTGCTATAAGTGTGCCTTGATTTCCAATTACTGCAAGTAAGTCCTTGCTATAAGTGTGCCTTGATTTCCAATTACTGCAGGTGAGTCCTTGTTATAAGTGTGCCTTGATTTCCAATTACTGCAAGTGAGTCCTTGTTATAAGTGCACCTTGATTTCCAATTACTGCAGGTAAGTCCTTGTTGTAAGTGCACCTTGAATTCCAATTACTGCAGGTAAGTCCTTGTTGTAAGTGCACCTTGATTTCCAATTACTGCAGGTAAGTCCTTGTTGTAAGTGCACCTTGATTTCCAATTACTGCAGGTGAGTCCTTGTTGTAAGTGCATTTTGATTTCCAATTACTGCAGGTAAGTTCTTGTTATAAGTGTGTCTTGATTTCCAATTACTACAAGTAGGTCCTTGCTATAAGTGTGCCTTGATTTCCAATTACTGCAGGTGAGTCCTTGTTATAAGTGTGCCTTGAATTCCAATTACTGCAGGTGAGTCCTTGTTATAAGTGTGCCTTGATTTCCAATTACTGCAAGTAAGTCCTTGCTATAAGTGTGCCTTGATTTCCAATTACTGCAGGTGAGTCCTTGTTATAAGTGTGCCTTGATTTCCAATTACTGCAAGTGAGTCCTTGTTATAAATGTGCCTTGATTTCCAATTACTGCAAGTAAGTCCTTGCTATAAGTGTGCCTTGAATTCCAATTACTGCAGGTGAGTCCTTGTTATAAGTGTGCCTTGATTTCCAATTACTGCAAGTAAGTCCTTGCTATAAGTGTGCCTTGATTTCCAATTACTGCAGGTGAGTCCTTGTTATAAGTGTGCCTTGATTTCCAATTACTGCAAGTAAGTCCTTGCTATAAGTGTGCCTTGAATTCCAATTACTGCAGGTGAGTCCTTGTTATAAGTGTGCCTTGATTTCCAATTACTGCAAGTAAGTCCTTGCTATAAGTGTGCCTTGATTTCCAATTACTGCAGGTGAGTCCTTGTTATAAGTGTGCCTTGATTTCCAATTACTGCAGGTGAGTCCTTGTTATAAGTGTGCCTTGATTTCCAATTACTGCAAGTGAGTCCTTGTTATAAATGTGCCTTGATTTCCAATTACTGCAAGTAAGTCCTTGCTATAAGTGTGCCTTGATTTCCAATTACTGCAGGTTAGTTCTTGTTGTAAGTGCACCTTGATTTCCAATTACTGCAGGTGACTCATTGTTATAAGTGCGCCTTGATTTCCAATTACTGCAGGTGAGTCCTTGTTATAAGTGCACCTTGATTTCCAATTACTGCAGGTAAGTCCTTGTTGTAAGTGCACCTTGATTTCGAATTACTGCAGGTGAGTCCTTGTTATAAGTGCCCCTTGATTTCCAATTACCACAGGTTAGTCATTGTTATATACAAGTGCACCTTGATTTCCAATTACTGCAGGTGAGTTATTGTTCTAAGTGTGCCTTGATTTCCAATTACAGCAGGTAAGTCCTTGTTGTAAGTGCACCTTGATTTCCAATTACTGCAGGTGAGTCCTTGTTATAAGTGCACCTTGATTTCCAATTACTGCAGGTAAGTCCTTGTTATAAGTGCGCCTTGATTTCCAATTACTGCAGGTAAGTCCTTGTTATAAGTGCGCCTTGATTTCCAATTACTGCAGGTAAGTCCTTGTTGTAAGTGCACCTTGATTTCCAATTACTGCAGGTAAGTCCTTTTTATAAGTGCACCTTGATTTCCAATTACTGCAGGTGAGTGCTTGTTATAAGTGCGCCTTGATTTCCAATTACTTCAGGTAAGTCCTTGCTATAAGTGCACCTTGATTTTCAATTACTGCAGGTGAGTCCTTGTTATAAGTGCAACTTGTTGAATTTTCTGGGAATATATATTTCACCATTTGCATATGCAGGTGTTAAATATCCATTAACAATTTGCAACTCATCCTTATATTTCAACATATACCGATATAAACTGTATTCCTTGAATTGTAGAAATCCCGACAATGAACCATCCGGACCCTGGTGTTACACCACGGATAAAAACACAAGATGGGAATACTGCACTGTTCCATTCTGCGGTCAGTAGATATATTGTAATTGTTAAATGAATATAGCCTGTTTGATTGCCATATTACTCCTCCTATGTGCAATGTGTAGAACAATCTTTTCTTTTTTGCAAAATGTTGACAAATATCTAACCTTTTACATGTGAAAAGAAGTCCCTGACTAATATGATGTATATATACTTATTATGTTTATTATAATAAAGTAGAATGAACATAACAAACAAAATTATGTATTACTACTGAACTGTTATGTCTGAAGTCAATGTAATGTCATCAACATTATACATCCAGTATACTATATTACTGAATTCTATGTTCTTTTAGACTGTAAGGTTACTGAGATAGGGAAAGAGTACAAAGGACACATCTCACAGACTAATGCCTTCAAGACATGCCAAAGGTGGGACTCACAAACACCTAATAGCCACCCAAGGTATGTAAACATTGTGGGGATTTATCAAAGTAAATATGGATTTACAAAGAAAATTAGTAGAATTTAGAGGCCTAATAAGTAGAGTTTTGAGGTTAACATGTATTCAGAATTACATCTAATGTATATGTGACACTGTGCCTTAAAGATCAAATCTTACAATACAAGTTCTGTGTAATGGACAAAATTAAAATAAGAAAATAACAAAATCCCTAAGGAAGGATGGAAAGAATACAGTACACTTGTTTATTGCATGTATTTTTTTTTTCTTTTTATAGCTATGACCCAAGGGATTTCCCAGAGAGCACTATATCAGAGGCAGCTAACTATTGTCGAAATCCCAATGGTCAACCGCAAGGTCCATGGTGTCACACAACCGACCCCTCCATCAAGTGGCAATACTGTAATGTTGGCTTCTGTGGTGAGTCATGATACATGTATATTCAATTGTTAAGAAGGGGAAAGAGCTGAGGGAGAGAATGAATATTAAGTACAGTGAAACCTGTAAAGTGAAACATCTCTACAAGTGGCACCTCTTTTCATAGTCCCAAGACAAATTAACTTAATGTTAAATGAATCTCTATAAGTGGAACACCTCCCGAGTGAAAAACTTTTAAGAGGTACCAAAGGTGTTCCACTTAAACAGGTTTTACTGTGCTTTTATCGATGTAACTGGCTTAAAACACTTTATATGCTATCGATAAAATTATACTGAATAATTCGTATATTTCAGAATGTAAGACTTCCAACCTGGGGGGTGAGTACAGAGGACAGAAGAGCACAACTGTAAGTGGCAAGACTTGTCAACGCTGGGATTCACAATCCCCACACACACATGATAGGTATGTAAATAATAGAGAGGTTAAGCTTTTTTTAAGAGTACCTGTATGTGAACATGAATTATAATGGTCATTTCGGAATAAGTTTTTTCCATTGTAGTATATTACTTGCTTGATTTAGTATAAAGGTATTAGGAATATGGTTGTAAATAGGTCACTAGAAAATCAATAAGACGGGAACAGTAATCTATTGGGGTCATTATATGATATTTGAAACCTCCCTTTTGAAGGGTGAAAAAGAGATAGGCAGCATAAAATTGAGAAAATTGATATCATAGATCCAATTCCTAGATTTCAATAATAAATTTGTATTCGAAAAATAGAATTAGCCACAATCATTATTTTCAAGAATCGATATTTCATCTTCTAAAATTTAAATACCATTTGGTATTTTTGATATATGACCTGGAATATTTTCACTCACTTTCAGGTATCTCCCAGCTATGTTCCCTGACAATAGTGTGGCAGATGCAAGTAACTTCTGTCGTAACCCAGATCAGAGCCCCGAGGGTCCCTGGTGCTTCACTACTGACCCCAATAAAATGTGGGAGTGGTGTTCAGTCCCCGCATGTGGTAAGGATGTGTTCATGTATAACCCATACAATAGAGAAAACATAACGATTTGCTTTCATCAAGGTTGTAAACAATCCAACAAACTGAACTTTTTACTCATGTATTTGTTTATGTTTATTGTTGTTTATCAGTTATTTTTATTCAATTATAAACAGTACAGTAATACTTGTCTAGGTGGAACACTTTTAGTACCTCTAAAAGTGTTCCACTTAGGAGGTGTTCCACTTACAGATGCTCATTTAACTTAAAGACAGTTGGTCTTGGGAGCTGAAGTGTTCCACTTCTAGAGGTGTTCCACTTTATAGATTTCACTGTATCCTTTTTCATTCGATGTAATATTGTTAGACATATTTCTGAAAGTAATCATTACTTATATCCTTATTTGTATTGTGTGTTTATAGAGATGTATGAAAACTTGCCAACCCCAACTCCACCTATTACAGTACCAAGAGGTAAGTTGCCGTATGAAAAGCCAGTACTCAGACACACTACCACATGAAATCGGCGTCTATGTCCCTGTCCTACAGGGGGAGTAATTCAGACAATTGAAACTGAAACAACTGTGTATACAGTAATCAGATTGACTTTTTAGTTTTACTTCCTTTATTGCAGGTTTTAGAACAGCCAGATTTTATTTAAAATTAAAACAATCCTTGGTTGTGTATCTGAATGAAACGATTCTAGTCCAGGAAAAAAACTTGTTTGTGGTCTCCTCGTTACACAGTCACCCATTTCATTTTAAGCAGAATCTGAAATTAATTAATTTTGGTCAGTTTGGTGTGAAGTTTTCTGAAAAATAGGCAATGTTTTATTTGTTAAACTGTAATTTAATTGATTTGAAATAAAGAAATAAAAAGAATAAAAAATAAAGTAATAAATTTATGCATATTTTTCAGTTATTTAATTCTTCATTTGAAGTCCTCAATCAGTTGTTTTTTATTTAATACAAAATATAAGAATTAAAGTGGATATAACAAATAGCCATTCATTTAAATAAAACATCACTATTGCTCGAATTAATAAGAGACTATAGTCTAGTGGTAGGCACAGTAGGGGTCGTTTTGTAGTAGAAAGTTTTTTTCTTTGCATCTTTGGATACCTTATTGTGTCTACATAAAATATTAGGAAGATGCAAAATTGAGTACTTCATGAACTAAAACATAAGTTTCCTTCTTAATTCATAAATATAAACAGTGAAGTACACAAGGCAGTGATTTCACAAACTTAATTCTGTAGAGTGTAAGACATCTGAGATGGGACATGAATACAGAGGCAAGAAGTCTTGGACTTTAAGTGGAAAACAATGCCAGAGATGGGATTCACAGACACCCCAAAAGCATAGAAGGTAATCAATCAGACAGCTAATATAATGATTTTAAATTTTGGAACTTTAACATTAATCGATTATAAGATGTAAGGATGACTTTATATGGTTTGGATAGTTTTATTTATCTGTGGATACAGTTAAGTTCAAAACATGCATGGTGCCATCGCCATGGCATACCCTATCCTTAACATCTTATTATGAATTAAAAGTTGAATACTCCATTTTTCTTTCAATATGCATGTACCAGGTCCTCCAATAAGTTCATGCATTTTCTTTATTTTCTTTTACAAAATATGGAAAATATATCTACATGTATATGCGTTAGATTTGTCACTGTTTCTGATTGGTCATATTATATTAATCCAACAATGTTTTTAATCTTTAGATATACTGTACTGGGATCTAGAAGTATAATTTCTCAGCTCTATTAACCATGCCTTTTCTGTTGTAGATATGATGACAATATGTTCCCCGATGGCTCCGTTGCTGATGCAGGCAACTTCTGTAGGAATCCAGATTTTGACCTTACAGGACCCTGGTGTTATACCACAGACCCTGATACACGTTGGGAATACTGTGATGTCAACTGGTGCGGTAAGTTGTCAAATGGGTTTTCACGAGTCATTAAAGTTTTGGATAAATGATATGTTTAAAACAGTGCAGTGCAGTGCCCTCTTGTTGAATGCCATATTGTAAAATCAACTATTTTATACTGTTAATTAGTTAGATGGTACTTTCTGATTTTTTGTGCTCCATACATATTTCATTCTGTGTTTTCATTAACTAATCACAATGTATTGTGGAATTAACTATTTCATACTAACCAATAACCTTTATGGCCAATAACTTTATACAGGTCTTTACTCTTGCAGAGTGTAAACATAGTAAGCTTGGATCTAACTATGTTGGGACTCTACACACAACTAGAAGAGGGGTGCTATGTCAGCGTTGGGACTCGCAATCCCCTCATCAACATGACAGAATTGATGCATCGAAGTTCCCTGATGCAACTCTAGGGGATGCTGCTAATTATTGCCGTAATCCTGATAGTGAGCCTCGTGGCCCATGGTGCTATACTTCAGATCCGGGCCAACGATGGGACTATTGCGATATGCCTCATTGCCGTAAGTAGTCCTCCAATTATACCATTCAGACAGTTGATTTAATCTTTATTGAATGCTATCACATAGTGTATGATAACAAACAAGACACATAATGATACATATTGCACTTTGATGAGCAAAATGGCTGCCATGTAATTAACCCAGCATGCCCAGATAATCAGATGTTGGCTGTCGTCCGCTCTTGCAAATGTAAAAATTTCACATATAAATGGTATACCTGGACAAGATTTATGTGACACTCACCCAATTTACATTAGCACAAGACCATGACAATACAGCACTCATTTAAAATGTAATTAAAATCATTGTTGTATTTTCCATACAGCATGTAAACAGGAGCACAGTGGCAAGACATATGAAGGCACAAAGCAAGTAACACAAAGGGGCTTCATTTGTCAGAGATGGGACCAGCAGACTCCTCATTCCCACCCATACAAAATACCCGCCTTTTTCCCTGATCGTACAATGGATGATGCCTCCAACTATTGTCGCAATCCCAATGATGATCCAGAAGGTCCCTGGTGTTATACAACGAACCCAACGCGTGTGAAGGACTTCTGCAAGATACCATTATGCGGTATGTGTGTTTCATTCTAAAGGACCGCCAGTTGTTTGTACAATGAATCAGGGGAGTTTTTCATGCATTTCACTCATGATTTTCATCTGAAAACATCAATACACTTTCAAACATTTTATTGACTATAAGATTGCACCATATAATCCCTAAAAATATTTCTCATTTTCAAGGATTGTCTATGGATTAACACCCAGGTATTTTAATTATTTTTCAAACTTCAGAGGGCTGGGAATCATTGATAATCAATTCTTTTGAATAATAGAAATGCTATTTTAAATTGGTTTCATGAATGCCAATAATTTCTCATATTGTGTAAACTGAACACATTCTTTAATCCCTAGAATATTCTCTTGGAGGAATATCCCATAGAAAACCAAAGGTATAGTTCCAAGCAGATTTTGAGATAATACAGGAAAGTAAATCAATCGACTTCGAAAAACATGCTTAATTGTAGAAATTATTTGAGATGTTTATATGTAAGTGCAATACTTGTTTAAAACTTCCTTCACCTGGAGTTCTTGCATTCTTTTCATTCACAAAAATTCATCTTAACATTGTCATTCAATTTTTCAGCATTGTTTTCCACGACGACACAGTCAACAACAACAGCCCGAACAACAACAACAGCACCACCAACAACAACAACAGACGTCAAGCGGACATACCCTACAGCACCTAACACAACCCCATGGATTCCACCTTGGTTTACCACACAGAGGTGGACGTGGTGGCCCCAAGAAACGACTACGCAACCACCTCTTCCTACACAATCTAGGCAGATCGGTAATGTTTCATTTTTATTGTGTCACCAACAGAAGTGGTGACATATTGTTGTAGTGTCCAACTTTTTTATGGATGACAGTCAATGATAGGTGTCTAGTGGTTGGTATTTGGTGTTCGGCATCTCTAACAAATGGCAGGTGGTGACATTTTGCATGAAAAATTTATTAATATCGGAAGCAGTTTTGAATACTGTAACAGTTAATGTTGTTGTTATTGTATATCACCATCAATCTGGAAAATACAAGTAATCTGCTTACTCAAAACAAAAAGGAATTCTTCGCCATTTCGTCCAAGTTATACACAATTCATGTGTTTACTGTTTTATTTTTATTTTCCATATTTACAGATTTTTTAACCCAAAAAATGTTTTGATCCTATTGAAATTTGATGTTTTCCAGGTGGCGCTCCACTCTCTCCAGGGGCCATAGTTGGAATAGTCTTCGGGATACTAATCGTAGCTCTCATCGTGGTCATAGGAATTATAATCGCCATAAGACAGAAGACTAAAATGTATTATGACAAATTCTCTGATGACATTACACACTTTGACAACCCTGTGTATGGAGCAGGGGAGCCAACTGTACCTCAAGAAGCCAATGCTAATAACTGGCTAAGTATCAAGCAGGCTCAATCTAAGGCATAATATATTAAGAAAATACGATTAAAATTTGGAGGAGAATGACAACCAATGGGAGAATTTGACTCTGAAAGAACAAAATGGATCGACTTAGAAAAACATGCTTAATTGTAGAAATTATTTGAGATATTTATATGTAAGTGCAATACTTTTTTAAAACATTGCAGTATCAAATTGTTATAGTTACTAGTATATAACATTGTACCCATATGCGCAATAAATGATATTGTTACAATAAATGATATTGTTACTCGAATTATGTGGAGCATTATTCTAATGACGTTGATCTCTTAAAGAGTTTGGAATCACTTTAATGGATCTCATGTGAAAAATTTGTATCACTGATTAATATGAATTTTTAAAAGAAAAAAAATTGAAAGAGCAGATAATAAAATGAATATTTAGTTTATATGTTCCTGTTCAGAACTTCCCCATGTATCCATGATTGTACAATCTGATTTTACAATTTTTTTTATCTTTATTTCCACTTAAAGTATGTTGTTTAGTATAGATCTTCATATATTACACGATGGAATCAAAACAAGTGTATCTTCACAAATATAATAATATACCACATTTATTTCATAAAACCATTCGTTAAAACGTTTGCAGTCAATGTTTTTTTATTTTATATCCAAAAATTAATGTTTTAATTTCTATTTGTATTGCGATTTATTTTAAAATGATTAGTAATGTATTTTTTCTAATTGTTTTTGTACTATGTTTACTCTTACAACATGAATAAATGTTTATAAGCTTCAACTTCATTTACATACATCACATTTTCAGTTTACCATCTTGCAAATAAGAACTACAGATGAATTCAATGTTTGATTGAATGCATGAAATACTTTCATTCTATACTTTCATTTTATTTTATATGTGAAGTCTCTGTTTTCAAACAACTTGTAGAGTATATTTTAAAACAAACTGTTAATGCATTAAGTCATATGAGGTATGTAAATTACTGTTGTGTTTGTTATTTTACCGTTTTCATATCCGTGGTACGTTGTCATATCGGTGCCTATTAATGCATATACAGCGGTGGACATGGGGTGCACCCTCCCCCTTCCCCGGTGGGGCGGCAAAAAATACATTGGGACCAGTAAAATCGGTAGTTGAACAGGCATGATTTTAACCAGTTACCACGGGCATCACAATGGCTTCACTTAAAAATCAACCGACTGACCATCATATTTTCCAAGGGATATGCTACCAGACCGTTTTTTGAATGTCATGTCAGATCCATTCGATCAATGAGTGTTAGCAAAGATCGACTGCGATGAAAAATTCCACCGAAACGCGAAATAAACCTAGTTTTTGAAACATATTGCTGTATCAAATTCAAAATCCTACTTAACAAACGCTTATTAGATAATGTTGCTCGATCAAATCCTAATAAAACACCTAGTTGTACCAAGAAACTGCATCTTTTGGCAAATTAAAAATTGAGTGATTTTAGATTGAGCAAAACTAAAAATGTGAGAAATTCACTGCGAAATGTTGTAAACTTTGGTTTTGCAACCGATCATGATTCTGCAAAAGGACGATTTCTGTTCCTCAAACGCTGGGAAGGAACCAGAATAAAACCAAGTGGTATATAAATCTCGATCTTCCGAAAGCCGAAACTGACTGAACATATCACATTTACTGGGCGCAGATATTTCACCACATATGGAGCGGGCTTAAAATATACGTTTCTTTTTTGCAGAAAATAATTTACAGACAATTTGCAAAGAAATGTGCTATTGTAACAACTGCAGAACCACATCAATCAGGCACAGTTAATGGCAATAAGAGTATCATTTAATGTCCATTAATGAACAAATTGTTCTTTGTATTTTGTTTTGATCAGACACATGTTTTGATAATAGTTGAATTAAATCCACAGATTTCAGAAATCTATACGATACGACGTCAGATACTGTACATCGCGGCATTTTACCGCATTTTTACATACGTACTTACTTTTAAAACCGCAATATCTCGACAGCAAAATCATATTTTTCTACAATTTTTCGTCATCCGTTGAACACGTATGCCATGAAATATTTTGCCTATCAGAATTCCAAATAACTAATTTGGGACTTTATAAATGAAAATCACGCAAGCCGTATTATGCGACTTTCTATGCTAAAACCGGGTGTGGACTGTAACATTTTGAAGAAAAATGATTTTAATTTTAAACGAAAAATGAAGATAACTTTTTCATTTTTTAACAGATCTTTCTCATATTTTCACAATATTTAAATTCACCATTTTGGCAAAGACAAACAGATTCTGTGTGATGACGTCATAATATAACAATGCTAACTTAACGCTTATATTTATGCAAAAAAGGTGTGGACAGGCAGAATTTCGTACCAACAAGATATATATTTTGATCAATTAAACATTAAATCGTTTGAAAGGTGAATTATTCTTTTTTGATTCCTGAAAGGCATATCATATTCTATATTTTTATCAAAAAACTATATCATTTCGATTAAAATTCAGTCCGTAAGAAGTATAAATTGAAAGAAATATGAATTGAAGCCATGTGAAAAATTCATAAAATTACGTTTCATTTTTTGAGTTCAAATATTTCTAGTTAAGGGATAAACATTCAAAACTTTCCAATGTTTCAGCATGTTCTTTTAAATATACCCCTAACTACATACAATTAATTTCATTTAATTTGAACCAGTATATATTGAGATAGACATCATTTTATCACCGCAACCCCAAGTGAAGCCTTTACAAAATAAGACGTTATGCCGTTAGCGTATTATATGTTCTTCTTTATTATTTATTGTGTTAAATAAATCAAACTAAAAATTCGAGTTAAAATAAATTACAAATAATGCATTTAACGATCCTTAATATCTTCCCGTCTGTGTATATCAGTTGAATATGA